CCCTCCTGCCTTGCAGAAGCGGCTGGCAGCTCCGAGCAGAGCGCGCTCCTGGAGCTGGATTTGGCTCGGGAGGGGAGGCGATGTGTCCGCAGGTGGGTTTTGAGTCGTGACACGAAACGAGGAAGGTTTGGGTTTCTAGAAAGAGGCAGCTCTCTGGCCCCGGGGACTCTAGAGTGACCCGACTTGGCCACTTGATGTTTTTGTTGGTGTGTGCAGCAGATTTAGGAACAGTCTTTCCTCTCTATAATCCATGGATGTGCACACATGAGGCTGTCTTCGTAGTCCTCTCTGCCTGGGTCTTTTTGGGGGAGTTGCACCAAGAGGGATGGTAGCTGCAGGCTTTTGGGGTGCTGAGGTTGATTTGCAGGATCTGGTATCTTGTGAGTTGTTTTTTTGGGGTTAGGGGCGGGTTTTTTTAGGGTGGGTATTTTCATTTTGCCCCAACAGATGTGGTACGGTTCTCTTGCCTAGCCCTGGGCATGTTACTGACTGTAGCAGCCTCAAACGCCAACTTCAGGGCTGTGTTGTGAAAGTCGTGTTCACCCAAGGCTGAGCATGGGCTCCCTGGCTTCTCTGAGAAATGGATATTGCCCAAATACATGGGAAGAGGAAATATTGTGGCTGATCAGTTGGTGCCGGATTCCTCAGTGGTGGTAGGGATTTCTGGCTGCCCGTGTCTGGAGGCTGAGCTGATACTGCGTGTTTCAGGGTTTTGGAGGTGACTATATTAATGCAGACTCGTGTGGGTCTGGAAACACAACTGAACCTCACCCTCTCGGCCGCAGGCAACGGCATCCTTGTCCTTGGAGGGTGTTTTTTTGTAGCCGATCTGTCTCCTTCTCTCAGTCCTGTGTGCGCTTAGAGCTGGTGTTCATCATAAATATGCTCATGCTTGCTGGGAAAACAGAGTTGTTTTTCCTTTTCCCCTCCTCCCACTTCCCTTCCCGAGCTTCTGAGTGTTTGTGGCCAAGGACAGCAGAGCTTCAGGATGCCGGGATAGCTCCAGACATGAGCCAGGGACCAGCCCTGCGGAAAATGTTGGAGAGAAACTTCCCTGGGAGCCAGACTTTGCCCTGTTCTCCAAGGCAACGCCTTACCAAAGCTTGGGCTAAAGCTTTTCTGTCCATCACAGATTGCCTGGACCTTGCAGGTGACTCCAATGATCTTGTTTCCTCAAACTCATGTGCCTTCTTTTTTTTTAAAATCAGTGAGGTTTTTTAATTGAGCTTGACAACATTTAATCAAATGGACTTTTCTCCAATGTGTAATCAAACACCTGAAGAGATGAACTGCTGCTGGAGAAATCTCCTGAAGGTGCTTCAGCATCTCGCCCTTTTTATCAGGGCAAATCATGTCACCCTGATGCTGATTTCATCCATTTAATTCCTTTTAAAAGGAGGAGGGTTTACTGCCGGGCTTTCAAATCCCTGGGCTGCCAGTTTTAACCTCTGAGGTTTACCCAAAGCATCTAAGCATATATTTTATCTGATAAAAACTTAAAATACGCTGATAGTGGTGGCACCAACCCCCTTCTGAACATGGTGGGGGACATTCCTGGCAAGTCCCCTGGGCCACTTGCACTGTAGCCTGGCTATCCCAAGCCCACGGACACCTCTAAGTGTACCATGGCGGTTTTTTATGCGGAAAAAGTGGTTTTCTGCCTGCTCCCAGAAAGGCAAACTTGGCTGAAGCGGAGATGTGGCAGGCAGGTTTAAAGGGTCAGCGCGCAACCCAGGTGCTCGTGAGGCCGTAATATCAAAAGAGCTTTCTGCGACCTGCGGCTGCGTTTTGCCCGGCGCACGGGAGCTTGGTTTTGCTTTGCTCTGTCAGGCATCTGGTTATACTTTATTGAAGTCCCCTTGTTTTGCTTATCGCCTCCGTGCGTCTTTTCTTGAGGTTTAGCTGCTTAATCTGTGATGAAATGTAAAACAAAGTTCTCCACGCTCATGCTCAGGAGAAGGAATTTGTTTACAGTTTCAACAACCTCTTAACTCATTGACTGCGTAGGTTTAATTTTAATAGGACTCTTGCATTTGAAATCTCACTAGACTAGTATTACAAGAGAAATTTTTTTTCTCTTTGTGCAAAAAACTTTCTTTGTATTTAGCAATTGTGCTACAGGTCATGTAAAAAAAAATAAATTACTACACGTCCTTGGTGCATGGTTAGTGTGCACTTCTGGTGGCTACTTCAAACTCTACAGGGTTGCTCTCTCATTCTCTCCGTACCAGTATTTCCCATCAGTAAGATGTTTTGTAATAATTTGATGGATAAATCATCTAAGGGCACCAGTGCCCTGATCTGTTCAGCTCCTGGTCATGCTTCATGTTGAGAGGGTCAGCAATGAGAATCGCAACAGGATGGTTTTTATTCAAATTACTTGTGGGTTGGAGCATTTGGATTTGGTTTCTTTGCAGTAGTTGTCTTTGTGCTTATTATAATGCTTCAATGTATACTTAAAATTAAGCTTTCCCAGTGGGAAGCAGGTTAGTTTATTTAGTTGGCACAAAGCATTATCGCTGCTGTGAGTGCTGGGGATGTGGGGTGTGGGCTGGAAATAGAATTTTGTTCCCTAAAAGCAAAACATAACTGATGTTGCAACCCGATGTTGTCAATTACGCTGAAGCCTGGCCTCTCCTAAACTTGATGTGTGCCTCGCGTAGCTTGGGAAAAGGACTCGGATCGCCTGAGAACCCCTTCCCCAGAGCAAGGGAGGGCAGACCAAGCCTCCGCTTCCCAATCTCCCTCGTCTTCCTCCTGCTTGAGCTTTAAGAGCCTGCACAGTGTTTCTAGAAGTGCAGCATAAATCCAGTAAAGCACTTAAGCGAGTCCCCAGCTTTAGGTATATAAGTAGTCTGGTTGGATTTATGCTTTTTCAGGTGGGTGGGGGTTTTAGGAGGCTTTTGTTTTGCTCTCGAAAGCCACCTTCTCTCGCACTAGGGATGACGTTTGCCACAGCAGCCTCCTCTCCCTTTGAACCCGGTTTGCTTGAACAGCCGCGTCTTCTGACGTTCACTCCCATTCTGTGAAAGTTTATGTCACGTTTAACTTCAGGGTGATGTCCTAGAGAGATGCTGCTGTCTGTAAGGCAGCGTGGGTCTGTACAAGTTTCCAAGAGGAGCTCCTGTCTGTCTGTCTGTCTCCATCCATCACCCAGCCGAGGGGGCTCAGTGACCACAGGACTGATGACAGCCCTCGGCAGAGAGCAAAGCCAGGGTGTTGGCTTGGTCGCTTTGCTCCCCAGTGCCCATGTAGGACAAGAAGCGCTGTTGGAGCAGTTCTCCATGCACCCCTTCGAGGTCTTCAGGTCTCCTGTACGAGTTCTTGCTATCCCTTTTTGGCTTCACGTATAGTTGAGGCAGCCTGGGAACTTGTGGGTGCAACGAAATGAGGTGTTGGTTGTGTCCTGAGCCGCTCAGCACCGGTGAAAACTGCAGAAGTTCTTTGGGATGTGGCGCATTTACCCGAAAGAGGCGAATTGGGCTGACGAGAGTGGTGTTTGCAAAGTCGAGGCCACACGATGGCAGCGGGACGTTTGTGTCTCTGGGTCTGGTGCTCTTTTGCCGCACAAATACGGCAGAAGCTGCTCTTCTACCAGAGCAGGGCTCTTCCGCCCCGCTGTATACACACCCAGCTGTAAGTGAACAGCTCCAACGTAATTCTTCATTCTTCTGTCGCAAGGACAGTATGTCTGTGTGTTTTCTTTCCAGCTGTTGTAGTACAGGGCTTTGAGAAATCTTTTTTAATTGAAAATCCTTGGGAAAAGCACTGAACGCAGCTCCACGCGCTCTCTCTGAAGAGAAGGGTTTGCTTTGGTGTTGCTGGGAGCTGTGCTGCCGGCAGCTGAGCGAGCTTGAGATGAGCAAACGGCTTTCCATGAGCGTCCTTTTTCTCTTGAGGCTGAGCAAGGAGGGCTCCCACCCCTCTGCCCGACACCTCTGGTGACAGGGGATCAGCTGGAGCTCAGTGCTGGCGCTGACACGTCCCGCAGGGACTGAGATCCCAGAGCCAAATGTGATTTGATTCGGTGCGAGGTGTGCTGGGGAAATCCCGGAAACGCTGGGAAACAAGCTGGCGTTATGACAGGGGACAAGAGCTCTTGGCTTGAGGGAGGAGAGTGTTTCTTCTAGTGCTCCCACCACTCTCCTCTGAACAGGGGGATCGTTCTAGGCTCAGTGCTGTGTCCAGGAAGGACCCTCTCTGCACACGCGTACGAGCCAGCGGGCAGGACCGAAGTTGAACACCTGCCTGAGGGGCAGAACTGGGGAGAAAAACCCAGTCCTCTGTGCTCGTGATGTCTTAAAAACCAAGTCATACCACTTTCCTAGAGCCTGCTGCAGGGAACAAGTGCGGGGAAGTAGCACGAAGTGTTGGAGATGCTGTTCCAGCCCAATCTCCAGCCCAAGCACAGAGATTTGAGTGTCCTGCTGATGCAGTCTCTGCAAATTAGGTGCTGTAATGAAAATTTATAAAGCAGTTTATTTTCTATTGAGAGATGGAAGGTGCTCTTGCATGGCTAGAGGAGAGGGAAGAAAAGTGCTTTAAGGGCTAACCGGTAGCTTTGGATGGTGGTTTTTTCAGAGCATTCAGATTTGTAATGTGTCCTCTTAAAATGGAAAGGGTGAAAGCGACGGTCATCAGAACTGCCGAGTAAGCAGTGGGTAATCCCTCCTGGACTCAACAAATCCATACCCGCTCACAACAAAATCTCCCTCCAACTCTTATTTAGCACACATTTCGGTAATCTGCTTTCCAAGCACTGCTGTTGCAAACCATGGTGTGCCCCAGGGCGGCACTCGGTCCTTGCACGTGGGTCAAGAGCAGCTGCTGGACATGGGGTACAGCTCATGTTGCTTTTAGGAGCTTGGATTTCTGCGCTTAGAAAACACGACGTAGCGGTAATTAGCTGCCCCGTACGTGTTTTGCCCTGCTCCGCAGTGAAACCGCATAGCTATGCTATCATGTATTTTATCTCTTGTGGGTTTGGTTTTTTTTACCAGGCAAATGAGGTGACTGACAGTGCTTACATGGGCTCGGAGAGCACGTACAGCGAGTGCGAAACCTTCACGGATGAGGACACCAGCACACTAGTCCATCACGAGATGCACGACGAGGTAGAAACGGACAGTGCCATCGACTCCACCGTGCACTCGGAATTCACAGATCCCATCGAGGAGCCGGAGCATGGGTGAGTGGGAACGGGCGGGAGCAAACCGAGAACCGCGGCCAAACTAGGAGCAGATGAAGACGGAGGGAGACGCAGCCTGAGGATTTAAAATCAAGTGGGCCAAGCCTGTCTTGCTGAAACTGGTTGGTTTGTTCTTTGTAACATCATGCGAGACCAAAATAGCTCTTCTTTAAGAATAATGATAATAATTAGGCCACACCATGTGTAGGCTGTTTTGGAGCTCGGCCTGGCAATCTCTTGGAGTTAATCGTTGCTTGCCTTGGGACAACTTCTGCACCCTCATTACCATCTTTAACCTCTGAAAGAAGTTCTCAGATGATCCAAGCACCTGAAATACTCACAGTTTTTAATCTATCACTTAAGACAGAAACACAACGTGTAATTTTCAAGTCAGAAGGGGAGCTCATCGTATTCTTGTTTTTCCTAAACATGCGTGCTCCCTTTGATGTGCAGCCGCCTCCTGTAATAACTAGTTTTAAACTTGTGCCTGAAGCACAGAAGCGTGAGCCGAGATCTTTGTCCCCGTGTCTGAACTGCTGCTGGCAAAACTGCTCCTGGGCCTGCCTCATTTCATAGATTTTGCAGGAAAAGTTGCTTTTGGGGAGTGAAACTCCTGTAATACTGACCCAAGAGCACCGGTCTGTGCCAAAACCTCTGGAACCACCATCGCTTAAGGTCTCCTAACACACAGAATTTTTTTTTTTTTTTTTTGGCCCAAAACCACACCGCTCAGACCTGGTGCTCTGGTGAATATAATTACAGTGCTTTTAGGAAGCCCTGGACTTCCCTCCCACCCCAAAATCACATCTGAGGATATCGGAGAAGCAGGGAGCGGTCAGCGCTGCCGGGCGCTCAGTGCCGGGGCTGAAAGGGTGCTGTGGCTTAGGGAAGAAATGAGATTAGCTGGCCAGGCTCTCCTCGCCCCAGCGCGTTCAGCTCAGTGATAGTTAAATCGGGATCTAATCGGGTTGCTGAGCTCCCCGAGCACCAAGCGGAGGGGTTCTCGAGGGGCCATGGCAGCCTGCGTGCGTCCTCTGGGGAAAGTGACGTGCCTCGGATTCACCCGCCTGTAGGTACAAAATACTTTGGAATTTATTATTTATTGATTTTTTTTTAAAGATTATGTTGTTCTTGAGGCTTTCTTGCTCCGCCCAGCGTGGGCTTGGGAAGGTTGGCCGTCCTTTGGGTGCTCTGTCCAAGTGCAGCAGCTCCTGTTGTCAGGCGTGTTAAATGCGTGCAAAATCCCAGGTAGCCAAAAAAATCAAGAGAAAAGTTCATTTGGCTTTAAAGATTTGGAAGGCTTGAGACGGAAACCTCTGAAAGTCTATTCCCAAGTTGTCAAGGGCTGTTTTTTGTGCTGTCACACCCCGGGCAGGACAACAATTACACCTCTAATGCCTAGAGCTCCCCCAGGGGCCAGTCGGTCAGTACAATCGGACCAGCGCAGCCAGAGGACTGAAAAAAATACTTTCAACCCTCAAAGATTTAACACTGCTTTCCAGTAACTGTTAAAGCTCAACATACCTTAGGTGGTTTGAGCTTAAGTGGTTATTTAAGCTGTGTGTAGTAAAGATTAGTTGGACTCTGGATCTTGAAACTGCTGGAGCCCCGGTAGGTGTCGGTGAAATACTCGTGTTATTTATTGCCCGAGGCCTGACCAGGTTCCGTACGGTGCCTGTCAAACCACAGCCCCCCCGAGCACGGAGATGTCGGGGATGGTTTTCGCTCGTGTGTTAAAAATTCCACCCCCGCCTTCTATTCCTGGAGAGATTTCCGATGCTTTCAGCAACGGTCTGGCAGGGTGCGGCACCCGACTCGCCGCCGGGAAGGATGGGTGCCCGACGGAGCCCACTGTGGGAATATCGGGGCTTCTGGAGGGTGTGCAGATGGCCACAAGCTGGGCTTGTCTGTGGCTAAAGAGAGATCTTGCTGCTGTGCTGGCTGGAGGGTTGACATGATTTTATTAGTGGGATAAGAGCAAATCTTTCAGATGGTGTGGGTTTTTGTCATAAATGGCTTATCTGTAATCTTTTTTCTCTCTGATTTAGTACAGCAATCCACTCATATCCCCATTTTCCCTTTCCTAGCAAGGACCATAGCCTGAAATACCAGGTTTTTTTATGGTAATGCAATCTTTTTCTTTTTTTTCTTTTTTATTTCTTTTCTTAGCATTGAATTTTGGAGAGGAAGGAGGTGCTAGCCATCCCTAAAACACATAGCTGTGGCTCGTAGATGCATGGCCTGTTTTCACAGCCCACTTCTTTCTGCCTTTTACCCCTCATCTCAATTCTAAAACCTCTGCAGCCCTTGGCAGGAAGGTCCTCTGGGAGGGGGCACCTACTGCCGGGGTGGCTCGACTTCGTACAACGCCAGATACATGAAAAGACACAGAAACAAGGACTTGTGTGCTGAGCTGTGTCCCCTCCAAAGCAAGAAATGTCCCAGGACATACGCTGGGTGTTTTCACGGTTTTGGCTGTTAAAAACACATCAAACAGCATCATCCCCTGTGAGACTGTCGTGAACGCGTAATGGCATTTGACCGGCAGGAGTAGGG